TTGATAAATTAATGAATGGGATGGGGACATGGATTTGGTTTGTTTCCAAAGACAGGCTTGATAGAAAACAACTGAGAATGACTGGGAAAATAGAAAAAGGGAGGCACATACTGTATAAATAAATACCATACTGCTAAGTATTTCCAGTCATTCTGAAGTGGTTTTGTCTCTCGCCGTCCCTCCTCAGGTGCGTAGAACTTATCATTTGTGAACAGATGAATAAGTACAAAGTACGACTAAAGGACATCAGCACCCTGGAGTTTGCTGAAAACAAGGCCAAGTGCAGACTGACCCTCATTCGACGGTCAATGGTAAGATCAAATAATATGATTAATCACACTGTTATCAGAATCTCATCAGTTACAGTGACTCATTGCTTAATCTACCTGACTGAGCCAACTCCTTCATTCCTATACCTTCCCCTGATTTCCTCCTTCTCTAAGCAGTTTTTCTCTTGCTCCAGATTCTCTCCCCTAACCTGTCCTTTCTTTTACCCAGAGACCCGTACTAATAGCTGTTAGGTTTATGAGCATAGCACGCACTAGGGTATGTATACACACACCATGGATTGCATTCCCAAGCCATCATCCATTGGTGATGTTGATGTGGTACTGATCACTGTACAGTCGTATCTTTTCAAAGATTAACATCTTCCTTCTTCATCCCTAAAGCATGAGTCATCACTTTACTCTGTCTCTGATTCTGTTTTCTTTTTTGCTTTGTTTGATTTTTTCTTTTTTACTTTAATTTTGTAACTGTCTTCTGTGGATGCAAGAAAAGACATTATACAACCATGCAGTAGATTCACATAATGTTATGTGGAGTATGGAACATATAAAGTGAAAACTTTTTGTGTATTCTATGACTTAAAATCTATAAAGCTTCACTTCTAAGAAAACTCAGGCAGCACATCAGTTGCTAGAAATGACACACATTGACACACAATTATAGTTTTAATGACCTTTAGAAAACTAGAATCACTGATTCCTATCTTTTTTGTTTCTCACTTTTGCTCTAAGCAGCCAAACGCAGCTAAAAAGGTAAAGTTTGTGTCTCATTGTGCTGTACCCACCTTTGAGTTTGATGAGTCTCTTTAGTGCTGCTGTACTGTTTTAAGCACAGCTTGTCATGTGGTTCTATCACTGCATGTTTGAGACAGTAGCTTCTTGCTTAAAGTGGTGAAATGTACCATATATAACAGCATAACTGCTTTCATTTAGTGGTCGTCAACTCTTTTTATGAAGCACAAATGCAATATTCACATTAGTGAGAAAAAAAACTGCCCTTGATTTGTTTCTCAGGGAAAAGGCCACGTGCAGCGACTAAGCTACCACACGCCTTCGCCTCCAGTTAGTCCCCGGTTGCCCTCTGTGGCCAACACTGTGGTAGAAGAGAGTGGTGGTGAGGAGGGAGCGGATTCGTTTGCTGAAATCTCCGAGCATCAGCAGGCTGCCATGCAGCAGGAAGAGAGAGTGCTGACAGAGCAAATTGAAAGCCTGCAGAAAGAAAAGTAAACTCCATCACTGCACTTAAAACTGAATTTACAAAAATTAACCTTACTATTTTGCATGTACTATTAATGTTAGCTGTGTCTCACCATGTGTGCTCAGCCCATTGTTTAATCAGGATGTTTGCCTGTGCAGAGAGGAGTTGACGTTTGAGATGCTGACTCTGGAGCCACGAGCATCAGATGATGAGACCCTGGAGTCAGAGGCCTCTATCGGTACAGCTGACAGTTCTGAAAACCTCAACGTTGACTCTGAGGGAACCATTTCTGACTTCTCTGGTATGTCAAAATACAGGGAATCATAAATCATTTATGAGAAAAAATGGAAAAAATTGTTTTAAAAAACTTAACTTCTATTTGTCTTTCATTGCAGAAAGAGGTCCAGTGTTGACTTCCCCCTGGCCTCGGAGATCTGACGGGAGGAGCCCCCGACGCCGTGCTCTCCACCGGCAGCCTGACTCGCTAGACTCTGTTGACTCTTGCTCCAGTGTGTCCTCCTACTCGTCCTCATCACACTTCCACCCATCGTCCTCTTCCTCCTCTGCCACGACCCGGCGCTTTCGTTTCCACTCCAAGTCTCCCTCCCTTGGCTCAGGTCCAGCCCAGTCTCAGGCCCAGGCTCTGAATGCATCTCACGCCTCCCGATGCGACAGCATAGACAGTAGCCCTACAGGAGACCAGAAGGGTGCATATGACGAAAGGCCCCAGTTTACCAGCCGAGGCACCTTCAATCCAGAGAAGGGTAAACAGAAACTTAAGGGGGCCAAGCATTCAACCCTGGGGCACTCCAGAGATGGCGGTGGCCATGGCAGGGACCCTCCAGACATACCACAGCAGCTGGTATTATATGGCAGTAATGAATTCATGGTATGAAGAACACTGGGACACCAAAGCACTCCTTATCCAACTCCCTGGCAGGCAAAGATGTTCTCAATGGGAGGTAACGTAGTGGCGACTGATCTCCACTTCTCAAAGCACTCTTGCTTAGCCTTTCTTTGTTGAAGTCTGCAAAGAAGTGTCCCCAAGTGCCGTGTATAGTGTTTCCACCTCCACAGGGGGGAGATGTTTGGCAGATGGATGGGTATCAGTGGAAGGGCTCCTCTTCTGTAGACTAAACTGCAACCCATGCTCTCACAGTGCCTTGGCAGCACTTTACTCAGCGCCAAGAGGAGACACACTGAGCAGGAGGACAGAGAAAAGGGAACATTGAAATACACAGAAGACCACTCAGCATCAGGGAACGACACAGAGCTGGAAAGCCAAAGCGGTGTACTACAGCATATGAGAAGAAGTCAGGCAACATCAGGCGTGACAGATGTTACAGTGAAAATAAAGCTCTCCATTATTAGCTGCTTTATGAGTTTACAGTTCATAACAAGGAGTGTAAGCAGTGGTTGCTCTGTTATTACAAATTTATTTTTCCCTTATTTAATAAATTTTAATGTCACAGAAATTCTTTATAGCATATAATATACAGGTATAAATACTGTACAAAGCCGGAACACCAGCCTCTGCTGGGTAGTTGAAGTCAAATATTTATCTTTTTGGAGTATCTTGGACAGAGATGTACGGATTTGGGCAGTGGATGGTTTATGTGTGTGAGTGTGTGTGTGTGTGTTTGCATTTGCCAAGCGCTCATGCGTGACTGTATGTATGTGTGAGAAAGAGAGAACCACTTCATGTGTTTTAAGTTTGTGCTGCTTTTTTTTTTTTTCTCCCCCTTACAAGGGAAATACCGCCATCAAAGGGACCAAGTCAGCTGGTGTGTATTCCAGCCAAGGGGATCCCAGCTCTGTAAAGAATGTCGGATGTGTATAAAATCCATGCATTCACTGCTTAACAGCCATACAACAATTGTAATGTACAGTACAGTTCATATGTACAGTATAGTGGACAAATGCCATTCTATTCTTGAAATCTATTGTTACCCCTTGCTCCCGAACCCATCCCCACTTCCTGTCTCTAAAGTGTTTGCTCAATAGCAACCAAGCAAGAACATAAAATCACAATGTCTTCTGTCGTTATTAATGAGAATGTTTGTGTTTTTGTCATTTGTCTATTTTTAAATGTTTATTTTTCAGGCCTGTGTTGAAATAGTTAACACTTTGACATAACTGCAAAATTCCAATCGTAGATAATGTATTAAAATAAGACATTTTGACATGTCACAGTAGAAAAAGAACCCGTGTTACTATTAGCACTAGTAATGGTTCCATTATATTCAAAGGTCCCAGAAAGCCACGACTGTGCGAACGTGAGCCAGCACAGCCAACACAGGAGACAAGTACTTTTCCACTAAGAGGCAAGTAAATAAGTGTTTTCCAGAGTTAAAAGGCAGCAGCAGCATTTAAGAAAGCAGCAAATAATATGGTGTATAACATGGTAAAAAAAATATAAAAGAAACAAAATCACATCAAAAGAAATAACCTAAATAGGACAGGCCTATATTAAGAAATTCCCATTTTCTGAGTTAGCTTGTTGGGTCCTTTACATGAGCCATAAGTCCAACAGCACCTAAAGGCAACTAAAAAGACCAGAGTAAAGTTTTAAAAAGTGGTAGAAAGTAATTAACTACATTTATTCAAGTACTGTTATTAAGTACAAATTTGAGGTGCTTTTATTTTACTTGAGTGTTTTATTTCTGTACTTATTCCACTACATTTCAGGGGAAAATATTACTGTGTTAAGTACTTTTTACTTTTCTCTTACTTTTACATACAAAATATATGAAAAGGCTCATAGCATATGATGAACTGCTACAGATTAAACTCATTACTATAATTGTATTGTCAACAGTACCCAAGAGTAGAGCTGAAATTATTAGTCAATTAAATGATTGATTCAATTATCTTAATTATTTTGTAATCTTGTGGTGTGGACTACTTTTCAGCGATAATAGGCATTCATCATGCGTCACTTTGGGTTCCGGGTAATTGTTAAGATATTTCTCACTATTTTCAGAAGTTTTACAAACCAAACATTCAGTTGATTAATTCAGAATATAATAAGCAGATTACTGCATTATGAAAATGGAGTTAAAGCCTTAGTATACAAAATAGTTAAAAATTAGAGGCACCTCACCTTCAACAGTAAAATGTTTGCACATTAATGCATGAGTAATGAGGGACCATTTTTCTGTATTGAGTACTTTTACTTTTTACAGTTGAAGTACACTGTCCTGGTTATACTTAAAAGTAATATTTGAATGCAGGAGTTTTACTTGGAGTACTTTCACAGTGTGGTATTAGTAGTAGTTTTACTGAAGTAAAGGATCTGAATATTTCCTTCACAACTGAAAAAGAGCTCACTTTGTACGTTCACCACAATGGACTGAATTCAGACTGTCACGAGAACTGCGCATTTGAAACCAATTGACGTTATGTCTAAAAATAAAGGAAGGCTAAATTGATTAGAAGTGACTCCGGACAACCTCCGGTGACGCTGTGCGCCATTCGAGCGGCGCATGCGCAGAGGTCCAGTGTCACAGCAGCACCATCAGGACTCTGGAGCCGTCGCAGCCGTCAGGGAAGACGGGGACTGTCGTTTTGTTTATTTCACAAAAGGTAAACTTTTCTCTGCAATGTCGGGATTTGACAGCAACCCCTTCGTCGACCCAGTGGACGTTAACCCTTTCCAGGTGAGACTGTTGTATCGTTTTATCTCTGCGAACCCAGTTTTTGAGAAGGTTTTTCGTGTGAAGTGAAGACTGAGATAGTGCTGCTACAAAAAACCTGTTTGGTTGGTTGCTGGGTTTGGCCTCAGCATTTCCTGGCTTAAGAATCGTCCCTATTATGAAGTATGACACGTTGAAGTCCAATCTTAGACTAAATATAACTATTATCTGTAAAACCGTGTATTTACGCTGTACGTGGGCTGTTAACTTACCTGCACAGGTAAGCATACCCACGAACAGGTGCCTGCTGCCATGTAGCCATCAACTGTGACTCCTATTCAATGCGCCATTGATAAAAACCGTGTGATTAATTTTGTAAATCAAATCTACAAGGGGCATTGTGGGATTTAATGGTGGATTTACAGGATCTTCATTAGTGGTGTGTTCTTCTTTTTAGTGAAATTATCACACCGCAGTGTTTTCATATCCAATAGCTCCAGGCAGTTATGTTAATGTCAGGTGAACATGTCCCTGTCACATATTTACTTAAAACAAAAAGCACCTTTCACTTGTTCAGACCTAAGAAATTGTGTTTTAACTGAGACAAATGTGATCCAGAGTCAAGAGTCTATTAATAGTTAATGTGGTGTGAGACAGCTTGGCGTTCAAGTGCTCTTCCTGGACTGGTTGCGACTCTCTTGGGGACTCTCTTGAACAGTGCTTACTTCACACAAGCAGCACCAAATAACACATCATAACATTAAGCTATGTTTGGTTTCTTTTTCAGGATGCCTCAGTCACACAAGCCACCAGCGGAGGCAGTGAACACCTTGGGGAGTTCAACCCATTCTCTGCAACTGACATGGTTAGCTACTCTTTTTTTAATGATGTGATCATGGACAGATTATGAGACAATGGGCCTCTGGGCACAGACAAAAGTCCCCCCACCCCTCCTACATTAAGAGCAAGACCCCTAAAACTAAGAGTGGTACAAAACGACTGCAAATAATGCTGACGTGTAGTCGTTTTGTATCTCTTTGTGGTCATTTTATGTCTCTCTGTGGTTCTTTTGCATCTGTTTATGGTCATTGTGTGTGTATGTCTCTATGGTCATTTTGTGTCTTAATGTGGTCATTTTATTTCTCTTTCTGGTCCTTTTCCATCGGTTTATAGTAGCTTGACTGACATTACAACAAGAAATGTTAACAGTCACTTCAAACAAAGGCTCTGGGCCATGGGTCCCCTGACTTTTTGGGCCCCTGTGCATGGTTGGCCCTATTAAGTAATCCCCTCATGGATGTGATGTGTAGGTGTTCATCACTGAAAGGTCATTTAGACATTTAAAAAAAAATATTGCTTCAATCGTTTAACAGGGAAACCACTCAGGCACGACCATCCCCATCTCTGCAGCCTCCTCTCAACCTGCTGTACTACAGACGTCTGTGGAGCAGAGCGCACAAGTGAGTCACACACAAGACCCACACGTTTACACATGAAGGAAATTAAATAAGCAGGGGTGAAGTCACATCTCAGTCGTTTTATATTTCAGTTGAGATTAACTAACCAGAGAGAGGGAGTTGACTGTGACTTTGAATATTCAAAATAATAGATCAAGATTATAGAAGTAGATTACAGTTTTGACTTAATCAAGAGTGTATTGTGATAGAAGAGTGGGGCCTAATCAGTTATTAATGTTTGAGGCAAAGATCAACATTTGTGAATTGAAGAAATAAAGAATTGCTATATAGGCTGCTTTTGGTGCAATATCTTGTCACTTATTGGCCAGCATATACACCAATATTAATATTTGATTTGATTTCTATTTGTTATCAGAATATTTGTCTGAAAATTATCTTGCATTCCAAGGCGTGCCACTGTTTCCATGCAAAACTAAACAAATACAACAAACATACGGTCTATTACACAGATATTAAGAATAAATAGCTGCACTGCTATCATTTTAATCGCTTACTTTCACATTCATTGCTTAGACTTTTAATAGTGAGTCAGCAGTTACAATCTGATAATCAGTTCGTTGGAGTTGTAGTGATGCAGTGCCAGTATTGGACACGGTGTTAAGAGTGCAGCTCTTCCATCACTCATCAGGCCACTGCAGCTGCTGCCCAAGCTAACCTGATCAAACAGCAGGAGGAGCTGGAGAAGAAAGCAGCAGAGCTGGACCGGAAGGAGCAGGAGCTACAGAACAGGAACACAGGCAGAGCGAACCCTGGAGGTAAGTGCCTGCAGTTGTTCAAAGCTGTGAAATATGTTTTATATATATATATGAACTATAAGAATGGACACGCCACTCATGATAATCAAATTGTGAAATCTTTGTTAGCTAAAGAGAACAACTGGCCACCTCTTCCCAACTTCTTCCCTGTGCGGCCCTGCTTCTACCAGGACTTTGAGGAGGAAATCCCTGAGGAGTACCGCAGGATCTGCAAGAGAATGTACTACCTCTGGATGTGTATGTACAGCTACATGCGGTTTTTCCTCAATACCTCCTCAGACAACAAACGTTGCATTGTTTTTTAATATGAAAGAGTCATTGATCTGCAGGATAGTATGGTTTACATTTGATGGTTTTGTATGTAAACAAGCCCATCTCCGTTGAGATGAAAATGAGATATTTTCAGATGCATGTATCAGCACTTCCTGCCTTGTTGATGCTTTTGAGACGGAGATGGATCAGGATTGTTGCAAACCTCAGTGCAAAAATCCTGTAGGTTGCAAGGCTGGCAAATATCAGCAGCTTTCCATCATGATTTTACTTCTCTTTACTTCTCTAATTTCTCTAAAAGGGACTAAAGATGGTTGACCAGAAAAATCCACACACACCTGTTTTTTAGCTGTTCGAAAGCAGAGTCATGTATGATAGTTACTATTTCACTACTCTCAGCCCAGTTCATTTATTTCCTGTGCGTCTTTCCAGTCCATAGTGCCACTCTCTTCCTCAACGTGCTGGCCTGCCTGGCTTACTTCACTGCAGACGCTAAGTATGGTGTGGACTTCGGTCTGTCCATCCTCTGGTTCATCCTCTTCACCCCTGTGTCCTTCATCTGCTGGTACAGGCCGGTCTACAAAGCCTTCAGGTAACGAGAAACCTCCACTATATTGTAATTCCTGATATATGTACACAAGTCTTTAATTGGAGGGCTTTGAATTATAGATCTTGACTTGTTTTTGTGACTTGTGAATGTCTTTTCAATTGAAAGTAACATTTATATCTATTATCTAAATAACATTAATATCATGTCCTCTGCACTGTCTGTTTTTTCTCCTTAGGTCTGACAGCTCCTTCAGCTTCTTTTTCTTCTTTTTTGTCTTCTTCTTCCAAGTGGCAGTGTACATTATCCAGTCTGTGGGGATCCCCAACTGGGGAAACAGGTCAGTGGGAACCTTTTTAACTAACTAATAATCTTCATGTTGGATGAATGTGATTCATAGTAAATGTGGGTATGCATGGGTCAGTATGTTTCTTCATTCACACCTATGCGTTTGTGTGTGTATTCTTGCCCTGTATCTCCTCTCTTGCATCTCTTTGACAGATTCCTGCTGCCCTAATTTGTCTGGGTTGCTGCTTTGTAAGTGTGTGGAACTTTTCTCTTTGGGTTACTTTTCTATATCTATATAATATATATTAGGCTTTCCTATCTTCCATCATTCACTTTTTCCAAACTTCATGCTTTTCCATTGGTTGCTGGGGCAGGTTAGGATGTTGTCTCATTTCTCTTTAATTCAGTAATTTTCATACAATTTTTTTTTTTTATGCCAATAAACTTTGTTGTGTACTGTACAGTAGACACTCACTGTAGAGAATATGTGAAATGACACATGGTTATTTGATTGTATGTCTCTGTTGTTGGCAGTGGATGGATCGCATCAATCTCCATGATCAACACAAACTTGGCTGTGGCTGTGGTCATGATGGTAGTCGCTGGTTTTTTCACTGTAAACGCTGTTCTTGGTGTCATCCTACTGAAAATGGTATGTAGCCAATGCTAATTTAGACGTTTTAGAACTTCTCTTCACAAAAGGGAATATTGAACTATGTTACAGTTTGTTACAGTTTACACTTTGCGGATAATCTGATTACAATTTCAATATTAACCCGTCACGTTTAATCTCTGAATAGGTTACATAACCCTAATTTGAATATCTTAAAGTAAATTGCAGTCTATATATACCCTGTGTTTGTAGTCAAATTAAATAGATCGGTGCCTTGGAATTCCTTGAACTCGCCCAAAATAGAGAGTCAAACATTGTGCGGCATACATATATAAATATGGGTATTCACACTAGCTTCATATTGTTTATTCTCACTTCAACTCAGTAGGCTGCAACAGATCAAAGGGAGAAACATAACGAGAGAAACTAAAACTGGTGGTGACAAAAACTCTGAACAGCAGCTGCAATGAAAGGGCAACTATGGCATCAGAGGGAATATGAAGATTTAGAAACCGCTGAATGGATATAAAGGATCAGAAGGAAGGATCAGAAATACTCGAAGCAGGTCAGGAAGCTGGGCCTACAAACAATTGATTTGGAAAAAGTCAACACAGTCAATACAGATGATGGAGACAAGGGCAAATAAATGGGAGGTGGAACCATTTATCTACTAGAAAGGGAACTGTGTTTTGTGGCAACTTTTGGGGACAGTAGCACTTTGTGGTCAGTGTATTAAGACATTTAATTTTAACAGTAAGCGTGTGTGCTGTGTGGAGTCTGAAGACCATGTTGTCCCCCATTCTTTTCTGCAAATATATGCTCTTGCTATGCAAGAAAATCATGACTACAAGTAGGAAGCAATCAGAGAGCACATACGCCAACAGAGCCTGCACAAACCTAGAAATGCTATTTTAATAGAAGATATGTTTATAAAATTGTGGTTTGCATCTTGACCCAAATCTGTGTCAAAATACACACATTGGTAGACAAGCAACACCTTTTTGTCAAGTACAATACTTCATGAGAAAATCTGAAAACTTTTAAAACTGCCTAAAATAATCTATCTTGCAATGTTATTAAAACCTTGGAAAAAAATCTAGTAAACACAATTTTCCCAGTTTACTTGGAAAACTGGCTGGCTTCACTTTGAAATCCCCAAATGCTCAGGTTAATGGTGAGAAAATTTCCAGTAACAGATGTGATCCATCATCTGATCTGATTTATAAACTTGTTGCTGCCCCTAACCTCTGGCTCTTTTCCCATTTCCTCAGATCCACTCTAAGTACAGAAGGACAGGTGCCAGCTTCACCAAAGCCCAGCAGGAGTTCTCCCAAGGAGTCCTGACCAACAGAACGTTCCAGTCTGCCGCAGCCAGCGCTGCCTCCTCCGCTGCCCAAGGAACCTTTGGCAGGGGCCAGGGAAATTAGACCGTTTCCCTCAGGCTAGTCTCTTCTCTGACTAAATTATCAGACTAGCCATGTCCCAGCATTCTTCCTGGTGTAGAGGATGGGGGTTTGATTATTTAATGAAAAGGCTACTGAGGTGTCCCCTTTCTCCACCCTTAAAGGCACTGTGGTATAATACAGAAGAGAGGCTAGGGGTCTTATACATGCATGGATTGACTTGCACATGTCTCGATTGTTATTGAAGTCTTTAACACCCTCACCCTAATTAGCATGTTCAAACTTCATGCTATCAAAAATCAGTTTATTCTGGGAAATGTAGGAAGACACATACTGAAGTTGAATTAAACAAGGCAAAAAAAAGGAGTGGGAATTGAATTGGCAACACCTCATCACAACAAGACTCCTGGAATGCATTCAACATAGTAGACTACAGATGGATACTACAGCAGCATGTAGAGCCTTACAGGGTAACCAGTCCATTATGCCCTGTACAATGAAATGCAACCTGTTACATGTTACACTACTGATGAACACATAAATATTTCTCTCTAAATTTTATGTTTTCATGTGTATAATACTGTATTGGATAAGCTGATGATTAATGAAGGTGATGGGGTTTTTTCTACTTTTTTGATCAGCTTAATGATTATGATGAAGTGAGACAAAAAGCTCTTCTGAGGGCAAATGAAGAAGTGGTTTAACTGGTGTGTCACATTTTAATGCATGGTGACCCTCTAGAAATACCATTATCTTTTCTGTCATAGTATGGAGCCTTGCTCCAGCCAAGGTACAAGTTTATTAATGTAAAGTTACTGACATAGCATAGAATTTAGATGTATGTACTAAAAAAAGAAAGCACATTAATGAGCAGAAAGAACAATATTTATTTGTAGATTATCCTTTCTTTGACTTTATCTCCATAGTAATTATACTGCAGACAAAGTCATGTGTTACTGAATAGTTACAGATAGTTTATATTTGTTACTGTAACACTGAATCACTTTGTTTAGGTGTAACCTCAGGGCCTTTACACAGGTGGAACCTACCATTTTTTTGTGTGGGGGTTTAAGCACAAGGCTGTTGGTTATTAGTGTTTTGTCTGATTTTGTTTTTCTTTATAGAGAAATTTGTTTTATGGTGAAGTTTCCCCCTGACGATCAGAATGTGTAATGAGATGTGCTGTAAATATTGGTGACTTATTTAAAACATATTTACTGGAGGGGTGTTTGTTAGAAATTGCTTCTCTGTCTTAACATTCAATAAACTGACTGTTTTCTTTCTCTTGAAAATTTGGGTCATGTTTAGCAAAGCCTGCCAGGTAGATGTAATCATACTGCACCAAATGTCTTCGCTACATGATGTAAAATACACAGAAGTAGCGCCTTGATTCATCTGTACAGAAGTGTAGCAACATAACAAGATTATGTTCACTGTGAGTCAGTTATACAGTTTTTCTGATGATCATTTTTCTGGTGATCAAATCCTCAAGTGCATTCGCTTTTTCATTATTCAAATCTCTTTCTGTTGTATCAGCTCATTCACTGTGCAGATACAAAACAATTGACTCCTTAATCACTATGAAGTCACATATAAAGAAACACCCCAGGTAGAAATCAGAATAGAACGTGCAGCTGTGAGGTGTACAGATGTGTGACTGTAAGGTGGGGAAATCTGTAGATATTCTGGTGTAAATGGCAGACAATATATGGAGCAGGAAATGGACTGTTTGAAATACTATGATCCTGTGTGAAATTGTGACTTGATACTATGTGTTGATACCATGTGATTTTCTTCTTAAGTGAAGACTTTTTGCCATAGCATGTTCTTTAAGATATACTCCAGAGGTTTTCAAACTGTAACTGAGATGTGGGAGACTAGCAGGAGATGCATGGGGGAGAAACATAAGGCTAAGATACTGTGTAGTAATGGGACATGTGCACTCAGGTGCATGGTAGTTATTGTAGAAAATCGGAGTCCTAACTATCAAATTTGAATATTCAGACGGAATTCGTCATCGCAAATAAACGCCCATAAACCCTCTTAGAAATCCTATAGCTAGAAATTTCCCTACAAACATAACTTTTTTTTCTACTGTATCAGAGTAATTTATTGCTGTGCGTCGGAGTAATTGATTGGTGGTTGTCAGTACATCCAATGATACATATGCAAACAGGAACTGCTAAAAGCTAATTCGGCGAAAAATTCGTAAATTTTCAAAATGTAGGCAAAAAGACAAAAACACAAGGTAGTCCACGTAGCAAGCGGCGAATCTATGATAATATATACTTTTGGATTCTGAGGTTTGCATCTTTGAAGTGAGTGAGGAGTTTAATGTTGAATATAATATTATCAGTCAAAAGACTATGGAAAAAAATGCAATTCCACTAAAAATGAAAACTAAAAATTGGCCTACTTTAATGTTAACTGGGCACTGCTGGACGGCTAAACCTCCGCATTCCACAGATGTATCCATGGCAACAGCTTCTAGTGTTGCTCATCCCAAGATGGCGGACCAAGAGGCAACCACGGTGGTAAGTGCAAAGCCAAAGCTAGTTATCATTCGCTTGTGTAAATATACCGGTAAAGATGCAGCTGGAGGAAGTGGTAGTGTGACACGTGAGTGAGTAACTGTAATGCCAGGTTTGTGTCCAGCCGTCGTACAACACTCGTTATTTGTACGTTAGCTAGCTGCCTGGCTAACCGACTCTAAGTCGGAGCTAAGTTGATTAGCTACAGCTAGCGGTAACTTGTACTCTGTTTATAATCCCACTCATCCAAGGGCAAAGTAAAACCCGAGAGCTAACAGCTATAGCTATAGTAAAGTGAAAGCAGCAGTGGCGCAGAGGTAACGTTACAGTGCAAAAAGGCATTGTTTACCATCGTTAACCCACTCTTTATACGATAGGTACATTATTTATTGACAGTCCAGCTCTATTGTAACTGCTTTGGTTTCACTGCAAATCCTAGCTGTGTAGTACCGATACGATCTACCGTTTAGGTAGACCAAAGAAAACGTCAGTGACTGCACTAGAAGTGAGTCAAATATGGGAAAATTATTTAAAGCGAACGCTGGGCTTGTGCATGCCTGCGTCTACCTGCACATAAGATAGCTATATCACAGAACTAGTACATTTTCTTGCTTTTCTTCTTTCAAAGAGTTTGAACCATGTCTCTGACACACGTCAGCGAAAAGTCATCTTCTCTTGATTTACAAACTAGAGCTTCAAGAGTTTTTGCTGGACTGCATTTGACAGTACAGGTTTGCCAAATAGAGGGGGAACTCTGAGTAAGCCTTTCTGCAGACAACTCACCAGTCAATTGCTTATATTGTGTAATTTGACTATTTAAATTAAATATAAATCTATAATAATAGGAAAAGCATCCAAAACCAGATCAGAGTGTGCAATTAAGTCCCTCTGATTGTGCATTCAGCATCAGCTTCTACACCTCTAATAAGCCTTTAACTGGAGAGCATTGATATTTATTGATCTGAATGAGTTTTGAAAAATGGCATTTTGTGCAGACTGCCCCTGTAGGCTACTTAATATTTGTCTTACCTGTAGACAGTGGATAGAGTGATTTTGCTGAGAGTCTTCAAATTTAAAACTAAAACATGAAAATAGTATCACATATAAATGAGTGTTTCCCATATGTATGTGGGTGCATAACAGTAGGTAGGGAGTGATTCTTTGACCAGTGGGAAGCTCAAACAAGTACAGTAAGTCAGTGCAGAGCAGTTTAGTTAACTGTTTGTTTAAAAAGGACCATAAACAATTAATATGAATTGCCACGCAGTACGCTCTAAATTCTCACAAGACATACAGGACAACATGCAAAGGCAGTGACCTATATTTTCAGACAGCGTCTTTGATCAGGAGGAAACCATACAAGAAACAATTTTTTGTTAAGGCAAATATATTTTGGTTGGGCTGCTCATGGGGCACTCCTTGGGAAACATCTATAGATGGTGTCCAGTGTGTTTTGCTGTATAACATAGGGATCCTGTATGCTATTAATCATTTATTTGTTTGTACTTTATTTGATATATTTCAGCTCCCAGTTTCTACTGAAGCCAAGAAACGCCGGGCACCAAAAGGTACAACAAGAGTTGACACTCGCAAGTCTTCAAAATGGTTTTCAAGCAACACAATTCCTTTTATGACACCCATCATTTTTTCATTAATTTCTGACAATTTGTGTGTAACTGGTAAAGGATACTGATAGAGCGAGTTTGGATCAAAGTGTCCTGCAGAGGTCACCCTTACTCTTCTCTCTACTGTCCCTAAAAGGAAGGAACTGTGCATACAGTATACTGCTGAGCATTGTTGCACACATTCCTCTGTGTGGAAAATGTTCATTGATCATTGAGGATATTTTGTCATAATAATATATGTCCCGTTTGCCAGTTAATACTGTTGCTCTTGGATTAAGCTTTTTTGTTTTTGATTTGTTTTACAATGTTTTGTAATTATCATCACCACTGCTGAGAATGCAAGTCCTATAGGAGCAATTAAGTACATGTCACGGTATGGTATTGTATTTCCATGCAGTGATCCTTCACATGGCATGTAAGCCCTTACTGTGGTGTACTTAGTTTAATTTGAAGAGATAAAGCAAATCAAAATGCTAAGTACATTAATGTAAGGTAAGATGAATAATTAAGTAATAAAAAGAGAAAGTAAAATTCGATTTTTATTGCTTCATGTAATGTAAGTGTACAGTACTGTACGTGAAGCACTAAAAGCTCCATAACTTAGTCAAAAACAGTGAGACTATGAATTTTAATTCTGCTTATGACTCTAATACGTCAATATTAGTAAAGCAAATAACCATTAAGAGTACAATATTTGGAATAACCATACAATAGAATGCAGTATAAAAAGTAGGCAAGTATGATAATGAAATATAAAGCTGTAAAACATATGCCACACACATGGGCACAGACTTGAAAGAAAAAAACTGGAACTTTCAGTAACTAAAGAAAATAAATTATGAAATTTATTAACAAAATCTTTAAAAGCAACTTCTGAGTATAAATATAATGGCAGTCAGGTGCATGAACTTCATGGCTTCTTCTAAGTGAATTGTGATTTCATCATGTCTTACCAATATGGGGTATGTATAAAAATAATTAGTGATATAAAAGGTATACTCTAAGCATAAAACATTAAAGATTGAAGTAATTGGTTTACTGTTTGTGACAAGTTTCTAATGAATGAATGTTGAAATTTGGTCCAAATTTGAGCAAGAAGTGAACCATCTTGTTACTCAAAAATCTAACAATCTGAAATAATCAAATAAAAAGCCATAAACCACAGTTTGTCTTCATAAGCTACTAAGTTCACACTCCATCTGTGGTTACATCATTAAATGTAATTAGGGTTATGTATTGCACACACAAAATTACTATGCTATGCATTATATTTTTTTATTAAGTTTCGTATAATGCAGTTATTACATTCTACTACATTCAGTTAACACTCAGGTGATGTTGCAGAAATATGAGCATGCCCACCAGAAAATCTGAAAAAAAAATTTTTAACCAGCAAAAAAAAATAAAATTAAAATTAAAAAATGGCAGATTTGGCATAAAGTCATTTCACCTGTTTCCTGTACAGCATGTTTCATTTTTATAGAATCAAGAGTCAATTTCTTGACACTAGTGCAGTGATCAGCCTTATTCCGTCTTTTTCAAGATATTGACGCTCATTTCGGTCAAATTCCGAAGAAGAATAAATGTTTGCGGCTGAATATAAGACTAGATAACTTGACAAGACCCAGAGCGTTTGAAGTTTCTTGCGGTAAAATTTCCGAAATAATTTTCATCATATTTTTCATTACATTCTCCCCATGTGTCTTTTGATCTCAGCATGCCTCTTCCCCGCTCTTATCCCCTTTTAACAGATGGTTGAAGCACATGGAGGGCAAATCTGTCTTAGCATTAGCCAGATCAAATATAACAATGAGAAAATTCCTCCATGTTTGGGATGAAGTTTTTTACGGGACTATATTTAGGAGACCTCATGCTGCGCTCTTCTTCTTTGCTCCTTTTCTACCCTTCTTTCATACGGTAGTTGCAGGAATACATGTCGCACATGTATCCCATCTCTCTTCTCTCCAAATCTGCCCGGCTTTTTGTATGTGGACACTGGAGCACCACAGGGCCACAGCTGAAACCCAGAGACAAGAATATTATTGCTGTCTCAGCAGGAAAAAAGCGGATTAGGTCGCTACAAATAGGGCCGTTCCGAATCTTGACGAGGCAAACGTGTGAAGGCCATGTAGTCTC